CTCGCCACTGTTGGTCACCGTCCTGGGCACGGGAAAGGCCATTGAGAAGACGCTCAGCTTGGCGAGTTGGTTCGAGCAGCAGGGGGATTGCGACGTGCGGTTGAGGACCAAGACGGTGGGGACTGTGGATGATGTAATTGTCGAGGAAGGGGAAGGGGATGGGCTGAGTAGGATCCGGAGAGTGAGTTGCTTGGAGTTGGTCATCACGTTGAAGTGAGCACCTTGATTTCCAGCACATGCTGTCATGTGCGATGAGGTTGACACGTGCCACAATCGCCTTGGTGTCGGTATTAACCTCCTCACGCAATCACTATCACCCTGTCACCATGTGGGTGGTCCAATCTCGTGAATACGGCGGCATGCACAAGGCCCAGAGATATCTCGGAAGTCGGCAACTTTTTGTTGTTGCAATTTTGGAATATTGCAAAGACCGAAAGCTCTTGTCTCTCCACTCTTGATCGACTGCTCCAACGCAATACAACTATTCTACCCAGTCGCGTCGTCTTCAAAACGGGGGCTGTCCTTTTTTTTTTTACCGATTTGGGTCAGCAACAGCTGCAGTGACACGCCCTTCCTGAAGTCCCGGTGACCAGGGCACGGTACGTTGTTCGAATGCAACTATCACGGTGCTGATACTGGCCCAGAAGTGGCACAAGATTAATAAAACTCTGGTTAAGAGTCATCCAAAACTATCGTCATAGCAGGATAAAGTGCGCCGGGTTTCTCTCAACGTCTAACTTGGAGTAAGAAATACATTGAGGACACCAGATTAAGCTGAATATAGAGGAATTCGAATTTTCTGACAAGATGGCATTTTAGAAGGTTGATCAGCCTTAAGACACTACGATTCGCCGTTGAAGTTGGTCCTTTGCGTAACAACACTCTGCCCATTGGTGAGCGTCTAGGGCCATGGGTGAGGTGAGAGAAGTTCATGTCCATTCCCCAGCTTCCGCAATAGCCGATCCGCAGAAGTCAGCTAGCCACTCATCGAAACGAAACGACGGTGGTCTCCGTTGTACGGGATCAAAGTGTCAAGCGGGTCACAAACTGATGGGATTTCGCGGGATACGCAACTGGACGTTCCCACCGGCATGTAGGCTCACCTGTCAGTAGTAGTCACCAACTCGTCCTACGCACTTTGAAATATTGGGTTTGCTGTCGAGGGCGTCTCCCAATTGAAAATATCCTTCGCTGCGCGTGGCTCACATCTTTGTTTCGTACTGCTAAGACTGACGAAAGAAATAATTGACGCCGGTAAATAGCAAGGAGCTTCTCCCCAGCGATTCGAGTCCGGAGATATATGCCAATTCACAATGCTGGGGACACCTTGCGAAAGTGGCGTAGCGGTGTGCTCTCTGAACAACTTATCCAGCAGTCGCAATGCAACCTTGGACACCGAATGCAGTTCGTCATATGTATTACCTCCTATCGCCCCAAAGGACGAATCCAGATTCGAAACGTTAATCTTGATTTTTGATGCCGCATCTACTCCGATTGTCAGTACTTGATCCGACGTGCATGCACCCGGCTCCCTCCTTGGGGTCGGAAATAGCCGCCCTGGTCCCTAAATCTTGGCCCCCGCAGGAGACGAGCTTGCTCTGCATAGGCCATCAGCCTCAGCGCGTGTAACCGTTTTCATATTGCCGACGTTACGACAACAAAGTCCTATCAAGCATCAAGTCGGAAGACGACTTGCCGACCCTTTCACGTTGTGCTATCAACTCCGTATGGTGTCCGTTAGTGGCGTGGACACACCTCATGCACATTTCATCTCCGAACGAACGGTCTCCATTATCCATGTACTAGTTGTACGGAGTACCGACAAAGAATCCGGGTGTCTGCACAGCCGAGTGAGCGGATCAAACCCAGGTGCTCCGCGGCCTTTTGACACAGCATGAGAATATAAGAATATGACACGGGCGAAAAGCCGGTTTTTCTGACTGCCGCGCAGCGATTGAGAGAGGGATAACTGAGCCCCAAGGTCAAACACGACTTCAGCAACCTCTCCTCTTGGATGTAATGGTCATCAGCCGAATGAGTATGATTTGCTCGGAGTTTGACAGGAGCGGTCGAGTCAGATCTGTCCGGTTTAGTATCGCCGCGCCAAGCCTTCGCACTCCCACTTTTACTTGTATTACTTAGGTAGTATTACGGAGTGCATGCGCATACATACTATCATCAGCGTACAAGCGGCACAGAAAATGACGCTGCTCAATCGCCGACGTCAAATAGAGAGCGCCCTGTGCCATTTTCTCGTCCAGGGCGGCAAGACCGCTGGAATGAGGGTATTTGATCCGGAGGACATGAGATGTAAAGCAGACGGGTCTTCTCCTGGAGCCGGCCTGCATTCCGCAAATGAACGATACTCATTGGGCGGACAGCTCTTGAAGCTCTTCTAGCTGTGCCACAATGCGTGCTTCGTTCGTCCAGGAGTTTCAGTTGCTCAGTCGGGAACACGGCTGATCCAAGACGAAGCCCCACCAGCGGACTTAAGAGATATGCTTCCATGGGAATAATCCGAACTAATTCCTACCAGGACCAAGATTAAACTCCAATAGACATAGGTGGCGGAATGTGATGTCTCAGCGACGGAAGCTCTGAATCTCGACCCCGTTTGAGTCTGTCAATTAATACCTGTTAATGCATTGAGAAATGCACATTGTCAAAGGGCGACTTCATAGCTCTCAAACTTTGCGTTGATGATTATGCCCACGCTGTCAAACACGTTTTACCTACTTCCTGCCGTAAGGTAAGGACCGCGGCGTTAGTGAGTTTTCGGGCTTTGCAGGTCGGCGTAAGCTTGTCAAGGCCGGATAAGCCCAGCTCAATTGAAATCGACGTCGGTGAGTTTTAGTAATAGCGCCCTTTGTCTCTAGTTGCAAACACTCCTCGTGGTTGTTTAGTGTAGGGGTGTAAACTAGGTCGACCCCATGAGGGACGAGCATGCGTTTTGAGTTAACAACCCAGGAGCTGCCTCCGAGAAATCACGGCTGGTAAGCCCGCACAGGAAACTCAGAGCCAGACAGTGGCTAACTTACTGGCATGTCAATGCCTTGTGACCTGAAAGCGATTAGTGTGTAACAAATGCGGCACGCATAGGCAGCTAAGATGGCACGGGAATCGGATAGCTCTACCCATCAGCGGTTTTCCAGATCTTATGAATGAGGAATTGTACATATGGTACGATGTTGCATGGGGGGAGTCGATTCATGTTGATCTCCAAATGTTGCCGGTTCCCTCCAAACACTCGCGGTGCTCCACGACGTGATTGTTCAGCCAATGTGGGATGGGAAGGCTGAATGACGCCCATCCAAGCATTAACCCAACCATGGTGCCACCTCGCCAGGTCGCTGGCAATCCCAGGAATAGCGGGACGCAAAAGTCCGACTCGGGTCCCGAACCAGCCGCGAAAGTCCCAGCCAGCCCGCCGGTCACTCAGCGGCCAAGGGGTCGCGGGCCTCCAGAAGTCCTCCAAGTGAGTGGGCATTTTAGAGCAAGGGGCGAGTAGCCATGTCCGATTTCAAAGCAGTGGAAACATTCCACGGACTCGAACAAGCCGTGTTTGTCCGGTCAAGGTCAACATGCCCGCGGTTCTAGGTGACTGTCGACAGGCAAACACAACCGCGGACTGCGGACATGTTGCGTGTTTGTGATGTCTTTCCTGGGCATCAGGTAATCAGGCAATACGACACGATGGCTGGTGGTGAAGGGCGTGTAATGGTAATTGGTTGAAGATGTCGACTGGCCTTCAACCCCGCAAATGCAAAATGCGAACCGCAGGCCGTGCAGGGCTCGTCTGTGATCCCTTGACTCCCGAAGACAGCTACAGCTAGCTGTTGGCTCTTGGTGTGAGGGAGTGAGTGCATGCGCGCATGGAGGTCGGGAACATGTGGAACTACTATCATCACCCATCCAACACAACAAGGCTCTTCTGGTAAAGGTAAAAATAAGGCAAGAGCAACTGGTCAACTGCCAAGCAAATGCCAGGGTGACAGCTGGAGCCACCCAGGATTTCCAATCGCCCGGGCCGGTGGCGGTTGCCCACTGGAGAGCGGGCTGCAGAGAAGGAAACCAAAGGCGCCCGCCCCTTCTCCGACGGCTCCAGCTCGAAAAGGCGTCTTATCCCCACGCGGATTTACCAAGTCCCCGAGTGCAGATCAAGTCCAAATCCAAATTCCAAAATGCATCCGGACCTGTCTCTAATAAATGCAAGTCGGCATTATCCCTTGTCCCGTAATTCATATTTCACAGTCCACAATAGGCCGGGCGATCCCAAATACCCGAAGTTTCCTAGCCCCGGCCTGACCTGACGCCTCCTGCCCTGCGTCGGGCCTCGCGCGCGCTTCTGCTTTGTCACTCAGACAGGTTCATTGCGGATGTAATCCGGAATCCACACCCTCGCAAGCCCCCGTTTCCGTTAATATCCTTATTAAGCTGTCGCCCATTACCTTGGATATTGACGTCGGCCATTACGTTCTTCGGCATGGCTGTCCTTGGCTCCGCATGAGCCAGTCAGTTGGTCCAGAGGTCGTGTGGTTTGTGGTCCAAATAGAGATCTTTCCCCAGCCCGTCTTGTCAGAGACTGCCACACTCAGACTCTAGTTTCATACAGCCAACATACGACCCCAGCCAAATCCTCCCCCCCCATCCCGAGCAGTCAGCTCATCACAGCGCCGACGAGCCTTGTGTCGACTCACCCAGCATTTACATCAGACCACGCTCCTCGCAACTGCGAATCCGACCTCCCCTCCGCCGTTTGACAAACTGCGCTGCTGGCAGAAATTCAGGAACGTTGAAGCCACTGGAGGAAAATAGTCATTACTATACGGAGTACTAGCGACCTGCAGCTAGTTGGTGTAGACGCCTCTCGCGCTGCATCTATGTCTCACTGAGATAACCACACCCGGCATAACTCCAGCGACAACCATCATCTCCTGAATCTAGGCTTATAGCAGTCCTCGGGGCCCGATCCTTTGAAGCCCTTTACTCAATTCAAATACATGGCCACCGAAACGGAGACGCTGTCGCTGCCTCCCACAACGGCCCCAACCGACTTTACATCGTCTGCGCTTTGCCCGCCGCCGCACATAAACAACTCCGACCAGGACTGTACAATGAATGAGGTACACTCGGTGGACTGGGATACTAATATGACGACCCCGTGTCTTATGCCCGAGTCCAAAGTAGGCGCTGTTCCTCAGCCGCCGCAGCAGTTCATGATGCATCCTCTGGGTCAGCCGCAGCAAGTTGAATACAACGATGACATGTCTGACTCTGGAAGCAGCAATATCAGCAGGTAAGCGTTCCCGAGGCCCATGATGAGGTTATCAACGTAAAATTCTTCGGCGGCCCTTGCTGACCAGTCCTTCTGTCAGCAGTAGTATCTTCAGTCAACAAAGCGTTGAAGAGTCCTGCCGACGAGCTTTGCCTCACTTTCCTAGACCAGCTATTTCGTTCCCTATGCCGGCTCTGGAATTCGATTTCCGCATAGCTGTGGCTTTGAATCCAGAGCCATCAAGGGTGGAAAACAAGGTCAAGAAAGAAATCACCACCGTCGCTGCTGGACAATGGTCTGGCTCGTTTGGTAACGGACGGGTGCTAGTGAGTTTTTATCACTCCTACCTTATCCCGCAAGTAAAGAGAACAAGTTCATTAACTAGCCGCACAGGCCGGTGGATATGATCTAGGTCAAGCCAGAGGATTTAGACCCATCCGTATCGTCGAAGGCGCCTTTGTCATGCAAACTACTGATCAGCCACCCGCCGTGTAAGTTGGACTTGCGGTGTATATTCCATCTCTTGATATTGATTGCTGACATGGATTTTCCGATAGTCTCGAGATGCGAACCCGGGGCTCACTCTCCGGGCCCTGTGATATTCTAGACTCGCTTCTTGGACCTGGCCAATCCAAGGATATCGATCCTCGCCAATATGGCTTCCGCATGTTTGCTACAGTGAAAACGCCTGACAAGCGTTATGCGGAGATTGTTAATTGCGGTTTGTGGGTAGCCAGCGGTATGTGGTCTGGTGAAGAGCTCATCATCGAGTATGTCATTCATTTCCTTTTCTCCTAGTCGCGTGTGCCAGTGGCGTTGTTTCTGACATGTGTAAAGCGCCTACAGAGTGACTTGAGCTGCTAAAACCTGTCTTCGCGTGGCGTCTACTCAACCCGACGTATGCAACAGCAAGCACCAGATGCCCTTTTCACACCATATTCAACATGACACCGACAAGGACGAATTTCTATCACAAAATCTGTGTCTCGAGGGACATGATGGGATGCATTTACATCATATCAACCCCGTCGATCATATTACATTAGGGCTGCTTTATCCACGGAGTTTTCTTTCTTCTACTTTTTTATTCTTCAGCTTTGGAGCGAGGCGTATAGGGAGTTCTTTGGGAAGAACTCGGCATATGTACTGGCGCATGAACCTACTTATCTTATTTTTCTTGTCACAATTTTCATGAGCCTGTGAATACACATCATAGTTCCTCGGCCTGTTCTGATTCAATGTTCCCCCTCATGCATCTTTTCATCTGAGAAGAGAGGGTGTTTTTGGGTACCCCAAATTCTTGGCAAGGCACGTCGTTTCATTTCGTCCGACGCTCTTCACAGGGCGTCGGTTTATCTGGATGACTCGCCTCATACACTGTGGCTTCTGTCGGGCACCATAACACTCCGAATCGTTTTGTCATAGTTCCTTGGCATGTTGTCGCAGGGGTCCGACTTCAGCTTCACCACCTCTCCACCTATCGAATGCATCTCGCCTCTACGGAGTACCTGTGTAGCACGACATGTCAAGTTTAGGGCCCGCCGGCGGGCGCCCGCATTACTGTAACCCCTTAACAGGAACAAGCTTTGATCAGTTCATAACCCCGCAGCCCGGTCAAGGCGGAGTACCGCAGCCTTTCTCTCCTTTCGGCTACCTCAAATCGGAGAAGTTGATAAATAAATTTATTGTCATTGACTCTTCGGTAGACGAATCTCAAACAAGGATACGAAGTAGGCAACACGGCTCAATCTGGAGGGGCCCCCCAGTTTTTGATACCCGCCTGTACGTGGCGTCGTGTAGTTCCGTCGGAGTGTCTTACGACACCAACATAATACGTTTCTTGGCAAATCTGCACAGCTGATGCTAGTACAGTGGTGAGGCAGTGAGTATTTGCCGACTCTCAAGTCAATCTACGCCACAGGGTGGGCAAATACTTATTGCATCTGACCGTACAAGGTGATGAGATGCTGGGATCACTGTGGCCGCTCTCATGTGAGCCGGCAGAAGAGTTCTGTCGAGTATCAGGACATAATTGGGGGCGCATTTGCTGCATCCATGAACGTATGACGACACAGAGGTCGGCTTAAGCCCAGAAAGTATCAGGACCCCGGTTTCCTATTATTAACAGCTGGTGTGATCAACGCAGTTAATGGCATCGCCTGATTTTGTATGTGAGTTTCCCCAAGACTTCCTAAGCGCAACCGAAAACGTGCAGTACCTTTGCGGCTACTACACCGACTTCGCGTCACGGCCGCATCTAGAACGTCAAACCCAGACTTTGCCTGCCACTCGACTCAACAGCGGTGGCCAAGCTGTCATGCATTGACGTGATAATGTGGCGAGCAGATGGGAGTGTGGTGCGATTGCGCTGTCCTCGAGGCTTCACATGGAACCAGATGGCCCGTCCCGCAGTGACCTGGAAATACGCCGCAACCCATCCTTATTTGGCATATCCTACGGTTTTTATTTTGCTCTAATATTTGGGCTATGCCTTGTTTTCAGGAATTTGGGGAAACAAGACTAAACAAAGCCAGAAAACGGCGTGGAGCAGCAAGTCTGCCACCAAGACTATCGGAATGAAACATTGCCGCGAGTATAGAAGAGTTGCTACAATCTATTCCACGACCTCGGCCTCGGGAACGGGGAGGACTCGTCGTCACGTCTCGGTCATTGATGTAGACTGTTCGACTCGATCTCATCAGCGTCAGGTTTGTTCCCTTCATTGAATACGCTCGCGAGTATCTTGCTTCAACTGGTCCATCATGGTAACAAAGGTATTGTTCCACGGCTGTGGCAAGTACACACCTCTAGAAGAGCTTTGCATATTTATATTTAAACTTTCCCAACTCCGACATGATCGCTCCTACTCCATCGTTGGCACTCCCTCCTCCTCAGAAAACGGTGCACAGACTTGGAGTGCGAGCAAGGCTGGCATTCTTCTCAACGCTCCTGGTGTCTCTTTCTGCTGTGGGAATTGGTGATCCGAGTTCGAAGAACTCTTTGCAACTCAGTTTGGTATTCTGCCGGATGACGGCTAGTTTGGTGACTACTGATTTTACAGGTCTCATGATGGTGGCCTACAAGAGAGATACTCGGCGAGTCAATCTCAGCGGTCTTCTTTGGGTGGATCTTGACGATGCCATCGTCCACGACGTGACACCATGCAAGGCAAAGAAGCCGTTTTCGAGCCCACTGCCAGCTAAAAGCGTTGCGACTCGGATAGCTTCAGTCAGATTCTGCACAGTGGGTTATCGAGAATGTGACAGTTCAGTAGAATGGCTGCTCCGACACAAAGAGCAGCCCAGGCCAAGTTTATTTTGGCATTTGGGCTTTATTTTCACGATTGATCCTAGCTAAGTGAATGCTGAGGGCTCGAGTAACAGAGCAACGTCTGTTTCATTAGAGAATTTGTATCCAAGTGGAATATTTCTCATCCTTTCCGTAGCCTGGGGTGCGTTTATGCCAACAGACGCAAGGTGGATGATTTGTACGCTCCCCTGACATGTGTTAGATTAGTTAGTTTCCACGAATACTTTTGAAACATGAGTGGCTGTTCTCGATATAACCCCCCCCAATATACGAAATTATTAGTTTCCAGCAGCTTGGCAGGTCACTTTGAACCGAGGCAAGCCATTCTGCAGAACACGTAGGCTGCATACAGAAAATGTAGAATAGACCGTATACCCCAAACAACCTGGAGACTGATTCGGTAATACTCGCTGTCTATAATGCAATTACGCCGTATCCCATACACATTTGAAAATGGCTGAGCCCCAAAACAGAGGTTGTCTTTGCTTCCCAGGGATTCTCCTTCCACTACATGTGCCATGTGCGAGTTCTTGAAACGAAAACCGGCATCAAGAGCCCCCGAACACTCCATAAATTACCCAACATTGTTATTCATTCGTAGTAACCCAAGAAATAACTCGACTATCATAGCCCCAGTATACTGGTTCAAAATCAGTAGCGTCACACGGAGCATCTGCAGCAGGCTGTAGCCCATCTGATCTGGGGTGAAAGAGCCATCTCTTGCAGTCTGTCTTGTTTGCAATGTAAACGCACGGCTAAATTGTCCTACTACCGTCCTCCCATCCATACGTATCTCTGTAAGACTCTGGGTGATATATTTGCCCGCTAGCGTAATCCATTCCACCTAGGTAACCCCCTTTTCTTCCCCGAGGCCTGGTTCAAGTATTCCCGCGAGCCGGTGGCGGGTATATGGATGCTAAATCTAAGAATTGATAGTATTTTATATGTATACAAGGAGGTTATGCAAGATGATGCCTTGGATTCGTGTAGCAGAGAAGAGGCGAAGGACTACCATGCAAAGGTCTAGTTTACGGCGGCATGGACTATTCGCAAGCACCGCGCGACTGGGAAAACACCACGGAGGCTTCCCGGCAGTCTTGGTAGTTTTTTTTTGATATACGACCTCACCGGCCTACGTTGAATATCCCTGGCGTCAATCTTGGATGTGGCGGAACATCATGCTCCAACATCCCAGGACGGTCGCAGCTCCTGGGCACCCGAACACGGCCATCTTGACTGGTTTACCGAGGTCACTGGTCTCAAAGGCAAATCTGTTGCCTTGTATTTCCTGTTCTGAATCCAGGCATGCGAAAGCCTCCATGTTTCCGCCGCTATATCAGGCAATATGCTTCCGGAGTGTCAACATGTTGCCAGAGAGGGAGCTTTCTCCAGCTCGAATATCCGAATTTCCATCGGGAGTCGATACCCAGACACTGGCAGGGAAAGTCTCGCTTCCGTAAATACGCCTATTGCCAGCTGGGCCACGTGCGACACGACAGAAACAGATTGGCGGTTTGAGGATAGCTACCACATCAAGACTGCATATCGAGGCATCGACGGGTTCCAAGTATTTTGAGGCGTCGAGTGTTTCCTGCTTGAACTGTGCAGTTTCTCTCGCGCATTGCTTTGGGAGCATGTCAAGCGGACGGCTCCTCAGCAGACTACCCAACGGCGGCAACGACGAGGATGCAAAGCGACGGATGGCAGAGGATACGCAGGCAGGGCAAACATGGAGGCGACTACAAGCAATTGTCAAAAGTACATGGTCATCGAGCGCAAAAATGCCCAAACAGGAGCTTGTTCACCGCGACCAACTCCGGCTCGGTGACAAAGTGCGCCCGCAACGGAGGGAAATGGCAAAATATGTACGTCGTCTCTTTGGACCCAACGCAGCGTTTGTCCCTGCACGGCGCACGCAAGGGGTGGTTTTCTGCTCGCCTTTTGAAAGCGCCTGCATCTGCGGGGATTTCCGATTCTTTTTGCTTCCCCAATTGCGCTCCGATGTCCTCGACGGGCATCGCGGTAACCCCAGGCAGCTTGCATGAACAAAGTCCCTCGTGGAATTGCTGATCTTGGCTCAGAGTGGGCATTCTTTGCCGAGGGGGAAAACAAGATCCGAGTTTTGCCCAGAAACCCCAAATCAACGCCGTGGACGGAGGGGAGTTGGAACAAGGGTCTTTCTAACATCTTTCCACTCTATTCCGTGGTCCACCAAGCCCGGGGTAGTAGTCATGAGCCTTCGGCGAGATCACAGCTCGGCGTGATAGTGGCTGTTTCGCAACTCATCTGTGTCGAAGTGATCAACTGGTGGTTGTCGCATCACAGCCCCCGTGTCATCGGTGCCCAATTCACACTACACAGAGGAAAATACGGGCTAAATTCGCGCTCGGCAAGCATAGCCGCTCGTGATCACTCTTGCGTGCAAAATCGTGGCAGTTGGGCGCCAGCAATGCATGTCTCAGGCGCAAGCCTTACCGGCGTGCCATTTCCCCTTGCTTGGGAGTCTATTGCCACGTCCAAGATGGCTCGCTTAGTAGTTCCTGCTAGTAGTCGGTAGATGGTTTGTAAAAAAAAAAAAAAAAAAAAAGAAAAAAAAAAAGGCCTACCATCCGGTAGATTTTCGTGCGTGAAATAGCCCCCGCATTCGCAGGTCCAGAGATGCAAAGCAAGGCTGCATCTGCATCAATCATACATACCTCTGGCCGGCTGGCTTGCTCCATAAACTGGACCAAGAGACGCGCAACTCCCACCGGACCCCAGCAATCAATTGATGTCCTAGTACTACTCCGTACGGAGTAAGCAGACCACAGCACACCGGGATGCTCCATAGAGCTGGCGATAAGGTATAAGATGAACAAGAAGCAGAGCAGGGATTCTCGTGCCCTTGTCACGGCGGAGTGGCTGGCGGCGCTCTGGCTATGCCATCCTCGGCCTCCTGCATTCCCAGGATTCCCATGGCCGGGCCAGACGATGCATCATGGACTGCCGTCTTTGCAATCGACCAAGCTTTTTGGACTAAAATGGTATCCTGCAGGCCAAGAAATCCAAAACTTGGTGACAATATCCCCTTCACCAGCTTCCCTTTTTCATCCAGGCCGGGATCCAATGGCAAGACCTAGTACAGAAAGGTGCACGCACACATAGACTGAGTCTCAGCCATGCACCAAGACCAACAAGAGGCAAAAGGAAAAAAAAAGTGACGGCGTCGAGTCTCTCTCTTTCTCTCAAAAAAGACAGACTCCAGGATCTCATATGCCTCCAGCCATGCCAGGTCCTGCGTGTTGACAGCCAACGAACTTGGCCCCCCACAAGAATCAGCCTTCAGGTAACAAGAGCTGTATGTATGTATAACTGCCCCGTTGCTAAGATTTCGTCAAGCCAATCGTCAACGTGCCGTATTTTCTTTTCCCCCTTGGCCCATGTACCGTTGTGATGGGCATGTCTTGATATATGCTAGTCGCTGCAGTTATGTCAAGTGTAAACCGCCTGCGCCGTCGGAACCTCGCTTCTCTCGACAACGTTGCATGTCGCAGTCATGGCTCAGAAACAGGTGCAAATCACAGACTCCAACAAGTCGCCATTGATACAAATCCTATCATGGTTCTTTATGGTGGTGGTGATTCTGTCGGCAATTGCGCGGTGTGGCACAAAGCTGTACATGGTCAAGACGCTGAAATCGGACGATTGGCTAGCCGTGGCGGCAACGGTCAGTATTGATATATATACTTTGCCCGTTTTAGGCCTTTTCGGAAGACGAGAAATCTGATTTATTTAGATTATGGCCGTTTCACAATTTATATCTTCCCTTGTACAAGCGGGAAATGGTCTAGGACAGCATGGAGATGCTCTCAGTGAGCAGCAAATAGAATCAATCCTCAAGGTGAGCAGAAACAACACGCGTACTATTTCAAGAAAAGTACAACTCACTTCATCAATAATACAGGGCGAATATGCTACCGAGCTTCTGTACATTGCGAGTCTCGGCCTCGCAAAGGTGTCGACGGCCGCCACCGTCGTCAATATCGCGTCGCGATCACACCGAAACATTATTTTCGGAATTGGCACAGTAATCATCACATGGGCAGTGACTGGATTCATCGTCGTCCTCTTTCAATGCCAGCTACCGGAGCCATGGGACATGATTCGTAAATCGTGTATTGCTCGGGTATGTCGTGCCTAGGTCATCGAACGGCCCTGGTTCGTCTGCTAACTCTTTGATATAGCCCGCATTTTGGAGATACTTTTGCGCTGCGAATGTGATTACTGATGTCGTTCTAATTGGCATCATTGTCCATAATATCCGAGGCATTCAAACGTCGTGGAGCAAAAAGGCCCTCGTTATTGGTGTATTCGGCAGCCGTATCCTGTAAGTCAACCCAGCTCCCTCGTTGTTTCAATGTTGCGGCATCTTGCCGAATCCATGTCTTCTAATCTAATGGAAATCGCAGCGTCGCTCCGGCCCTTGTCTTCCAAATCATGTACTCAGGCAAGTCTCTCGCCACGGCCGATCCAAGCTTTGATATGTGGAAGTGGTCCGTCATTATGGCCGTGGTGCAGTGCCTCAATATTCTGACAATCTGCATCCCCAACCTGAAGCCGTTCCTCGACAGTTTACAGTCGGGTCAGATTCGCATCGACGACCTCCGCCGCCAAGGCAAGTCCAGCAGCAATGGCTACGGCAGCCACCAAGGGAGCGGCAACAAGTACGGCCAGAGCAGCCGTTCGAACGGCGGCCAGGACACGGTAACATCGCAAAAGAGCAAGCTCCTAGAGCTGGTGGAGGTTCCGAAACAACGCAAGGCAAAGGGCACGCCCAAGAGAGCGCTCACATCTCAGGACGGCAGCGCGGCATGGGACGGCCAGAGCCACACCAGCCAAACTATTCTCATTCAACAAACAAAGACGTGGCACGTAGATGTAGAGACGCCCCGGGGCAGCTCATAGAGGGCGTTGCAACGGTAGCTGCGGGAACTAAATCGAAAATGTGTCGTCCTAGTTTGGTTAGAGAGCAGTCCTATCCGGCGACGGGTAATACAGATTCAGCAATGTATTATTTTGACGTAATAGAGTATAGCTGTTTCGTGAGATATAATTTCAGTTTGGTGGTGGCTACCAATCTCAAACCGTAATTTGTTCCTGTTATGGCCGGCTATCAAGACATTTTGCAGTGTGACAAGGGTCAAAGTCTTGATACAGAAAGTCCACGATGCCACGAGGAATACCTGTTGTCTGACCCAGATAAAGTCAGTAAAGTCACAATTTGTTGGCCCATCTCCACCGTCGGTACTCCGCTTCATCGATTTGGACAGCGAGAGCTGCAAAAGAGAGTTCTTGGAAACGATCAACGGGACATGCGTTATTTTGCCAGGTGCGAACAACTTCAAGGCTGTGTTGTAATGAACCAACAACGACACAAACTCGGTTGACTCCCACCAAGGTCGCGTTGTCTAAACGAGATAGTAGTAAGTTACCTTTCGGCCAGGTTCAATCTGGCGAAAAGGAAATACAGCCCATGTGAGCCAAGAACGCCACTCGTCTTCTCTTGGGCATCACTCACAAAAATGTGAGTACTAGTTCAGCCACAGCGATTTTGGACCTGGACGATTTGCGACAGCCGTGACAAGGGAGGAGGATGACAAAAGACGGATGGATTCCATTTGCTGGGATTCAAGATGCGCCCCCCTCTGGCCGAAGCCACCACTTTTGACACCCATGTCGGCCCCTGTCCAGCCAAGTTGGTTCGTCGCGGGGCTAAATTCTTGGCTGCATCTCTTGATATTCTCCTGAGCATGTATGTGACTTTGGATTTGTCTCGTCTCGTCCGCGTCCATGTGGGTTCGCCATTGCGCCCTTCTCGACTTCTCGGCGGCCTTGTTTCCCCTAGACCCGAATTCGTATATCCCGATTGCTTTCGCCTATCATGTTTTCGTTCTGGGTGGGCGAGAAAAGAAATTCGAAATGGGCAAAAATAGTTGCCCGTCCACGTCCCCTTGCAGACGGGCTGTAAAATCGATCTTTTTTTCTCGTCCAAAATCGAGTATTGGCTCTAGATGAACGGCATGGCGCTCCACTTGGCAACGTGAGGAAGGAAGCACCTGAGCACATGCAAGTTGGAACATGTCTAGTCTGGTACATTGATTGTGCACGTACTCTGTGCTTTAACTTCGTACCGGCAGTGACGCCGTCTTATGTTGCACTTGAACCTTGCCTTCAAACCTTTCTATACAATCATCATTCATCCCATTGATATTCTTTTCTTTCACTCTGCATTCGCCTTCCCTTCTAGTCATTGCATACATCTCTATCTGATCCCCTCCACTGCAAGCAGTGAGCACCACGTGTGTTGAGCTGTGCTCTCCAGGGTGATAACTTCAACAGCTGGCAACGATGTCGACGGAACCAGCCCACGAACTCGGCAACATGGCTTCAGCCAAGGCCACGACCTCGCCGCCTATTGTAGATGAAGTTTCCAGCAGTGGCTACACCGATGACCAGCAACTCGCGCGGCTGGGTAAGAAGCCTGTCCTCAAGGTATGCACATGTCCCCAACGACGAATCTCTTGCAATGGCTAACATGATGTGATCCAACCATCATCAGCGCAACTTTGGCTTCATGTCCATCCTGGGCTTCAGCTGCACCATCCTTATTACCTGGGAAGCGACGCTCGTCCTCTCCACGCCAGGCTTGGCCAATGGCGGTCCCGCAGGCGTCATTTACGGCTACATCATCGTCTGGCTCGGCAACATCTCCGTCTTCACGACGCTCTCAGAACTGGTCTCTATGGCGCCCACATCCGGCGGCCAGTACCACTGGGCGGCCATGCTGGCGCCTCGCTCGTGCGCCAAGTTCCTTAGCTACTTGACGGGGTGGCTCACTGTCGGCGGATGGCAGGGCTCTGTGGCCTCAAGCGGCTTCCTGACAGGCAACATGCTCCGGGGCATGATCACCATGACGGCCACATACTATGACTACACTCCGGAGCCGTGGCACGGCACCCTGCTCTACTGGGCCGTCATCCTGTTCGCCGTCTTCATCAACGCCGTCGTGTCCTCGGCGCTGCCCAAGTTCGAGGGCCTGATTCTGGTCCTGCACATCCTGGGCTTCTTCGCTATTCTCATCCCGCTCGTCATCCTGTCGCCCCATGGAGATGCCGACGCCATCTTCACCGGCTTCCTGAACTCGGGTAACTGGCCTACGCAGGGCTTGTCCTTCATGGTCGGCATGATTGGCAACGTCTTTGCCTTTGTCGGCACCGACGCCGCCTTCCACATGGCCGAGGAAACGCACAACCCGTCTGTTGTGGTGCCCAAGTCCATCCTCATCAGTATGCTCATCAACGGCACAACCGGCTTTGCCATGACTGTTGCTGTGCTGTTCTGCCTGGGCGACGACATTGACTCTCTTCTCAACTCCGTCACCGGCTTCCCGCACATGCAAATCTTCCTGAACTCGACCGGCAGCATCTCCGGTGCCACCACCATGGCAGCTATCATCACTGCTCTTGGTATCTGCGCAACTGTAGGCATGCTGGCTTCCACCTCTCGCGTCTTCTGGTCATTTGCTCGTGATCGTGGTCTTCCGTTCTGGCGTACATTATCCAAGGTATATTAGAACCCTCTCACCCATGTTTTCTGTCACGTCTCTCTCGTGTCTCTTTAACTCTAACCACCCTCAGGTTGACTCCCGCACCACGGTTCCTCTGTATGCCATCGCCGTCACAACCATCATCTCCTGCTTGCTCGCCCTTATCCAGCTTGGCTCCGTCACTGCCTTCAACAGCATCGTTTCCATCTCCGTCTCCGGGCTCTACTCGTCCTACCTCATCGTCGCCGTGCTCCTCCTCTACCGCCGCTGCACTTCTGGCTTCAAGATGCCCGACCCGTCAGAACTGCCTGCTCTCGCCAACACCTCTGGCTCCGAGCTTGTCTGGGGACCCTGGCACCTTCCCGGCGCTCTGGGAATTGCCAACAATGCTTTCGCCTGCCTCTATCTCATTATTATTTGGTTCTTCAGCTTCTGGCCGCCTGCTCTGCCTGTCAGCCCTGATAACATGAACTATGCGCCGCTCATGACTGGCGCAATGGTGTTGTTCAGCATCGTGTACTACTTTGTCTGGGCGAACAAAGAGTACGAAGGCCCTATTATTGAGATTGACATTTAAGACCCCTTATTTAAGAGTGGTATGTGAATCGGTCTTTTTTATAGGATACTTGGATGTAAGGGATACCCTGTACGTACAATACAACAGATAAAATATAGTTGTTGGGCCGGCGTAATGTATAGCACGTTATGTTAGTGGCTAGCATAATTAATATATAAAACGATGACAGATGACGTATATAAAGAAGCAGATGTCCTATGTAATATCCAGCCTCCTACACGCCTAAGTTTTAACACACATTTCATGGCATGCTTCAATTTTATTTGCTGACTGACCCAGTAGCTTCCAGTAGACTTTGAAGATGTGACGCATCACTCTCTCCAAGATGCTGCATTTCTTCTCTTTGGGAATCCAGGACAATATACACGCTTATAGAAAAGCATGATTGTAGATTGGCAGGTACTTGTGGAGAACGGTTGGCAAATTTCCATGGGTTGTAAAGACTTGTGTGTATGCAGACGCCACGGATGAAGAGGAATGAATGCTGGCTGGGTCTCCGACTAGCTGACGCCGTTGTATATACTGCCTGGTCAATGCGTCATTCAACTTCGCTGTTGTAGTTGTGACGCCTATTTGTCAGGGAGAAACGAACGCAGCAATCGCGATATGTGCAGGGCCAAAGGAAATGGGAAGCATAAAATAAAGGAATCGAAAAGGGTGCGGGAAGCCTGAACGTGTACGCACTGTGCATTCAGAGGAACTACCGTGCCCACGTGGTAGCGGATCTACGGCATGTTGGAACTCAAACCGTCTGTAATGTAAAGTTGGGATACTAGTTGTATAGTACTTGCCAGATGGGATGTCTGTATGTATATCGTGTCGGTATTCCGCGACACCAGTCGGATGAATAGGGGCAGTCGAATCCGGACGCCGGACGCCGGACGCCGGGGCACAGACCACCGCCGAAAAACACGGAGGATCAACGCCGGTGTGCGGGCCGAGACCCCGTCCGCGAGCCCAACTTCCTCACAGCCACTTGACAAGGATGAATTTAACCCTGGTTCCAAGGACTACGTACTTGATCTCCTGCAGGCGTTGGCCCAATGTCTATTTTGCAGGCAAAAGGCATCGACCTCGAGGTGACCAGTGCAAAGGGTCGTGACTCAAATTTTGGACGTAGGTTTCAGTTGAATAAGGGCTGGCGATTGGCTGGTACTCGAAAAAGCGACGGGTACGGCTCCTTGGCAGCTGGATTCCGGGCTCCCCGGGTCGTCAGTTCCGGGGCCCTGCCAGACGACAAATTAGCGAGGGTGAAGCAGGGCCAGGCAGCAAGTGCACGGTCTCTGTCGGAGCTATCCGGCGAAAACCATGTCCCCGACTCCTGACTCCCGTGCTGTAGCCTGTGAATGCATGTCTTGAGGCGGGAAAGTCTCCAAATGATCATCTTTTGACATCTTGGGCCTCAGATGAATACATACGCAATCTGACACGGCCGGCTGGCAATTGTACAAGTCTGGTGGTTTAGGGTGCACCAAGAGCTGGATTCCTTGCGCCACCTACCGAGAGGGAGGAGGTTCGAACAACGACCACGGGGATTGGTATGGCGGCGGCGGCGGCATACCAAGTACTGTTGCTGACATCGCTGGAGCTGTAACCAGCAGTCTTTCTTTTATCTTGTTTGGGAGGAAGAAAGGTGGCAGTAGCACAAGGTCAGTCGACCAGACAAGGATACAACGTGAGAAGTACAGGTGGGAGACACAGCACATGCAAGCTTTGTAGAGAGTCTTTTGCTAGGCCACTAGCTCTTTCTTCTGTTCTCTTTGCAGATATATTGATGATGTG